GCCAGTCTTCTCAATCTCCGAAGAGGGACTAAGGCCGGCTAACAACAGGAAATTCATATACAAATAAGCTAACACATAATACCACGATGGCACATTAATACATTAAAATACAGATCAAATAATTACATAAAGCCAAGTCGTCAAAGTAAATCACAAATTCTTCATCATCCGCCAGTGTGGTCAACAGTTATTGATTCGATCATCTATGTTCCAAAGCCAAGATTTTACCAGCTTTCTGAAAGTCAGGAGGGAAGGGGCAGATCTGATCTCCACTGGGAGAGAGTTCCAAAGCCGAGGGGCCACCACCGAGAAGGCCCTGTCCCTCGTCCCCACCAGACGCGATTGTGAAGATGGTGGGACTGAGAGCAGGGCCCCTCCAGAAGATCTTAACAACCTTGATGGTTCGTAGGGGAGAATCCGTTCGGACAGGTAAACTGGGCCGGAGTCGTTTAGGGACTTATAGGTCAACACCAGCACTTGTGAGTGTAGAGAAGAGCAAACTACAGACCACCTGCTGCAATGCAACCTGAGCCCTGCCACGTGCACCATGGAGGACCTTCTTGCGGCAACACCAGAGGCACTCCGAGTGGCCAGATACTGGTCAAAGGACATTTCATCAACTACCACACTCACAAATTTCGTAATTTGCTTGTTTGCTTTGTTCTGTTAGAAATGTAATATAATTTGACTGGTTGTTCTGACACGACAAAGAAATAAAAACTGCGACTATAATTTTAAAGAACCAGAATAAGGAGTAAGTATTCATATTTGTCTTGGAAAGTGCTTCTTATACTTCTCAAGGTTGTGTCTTGTGTGATGTCATGGCCGATGGCTGGTACAATAAACTGATCTCATTCTGCCTGGAGAGTCTTGGGATGATGATCCCTTTGTGACCTCAGGCGGATCAGAATGTTGGGGCGGTTGCCGTGCTTTCCTGCCTTCCTTGCGTCTCCCAGTTCTCCCAGGAGCTTTGCCCTGAACGGCGACATGGGTAACACTGTCGTCTCTCCGTCGGGCCCCCGCGTTGTGGTGCTGAACTTTCCAGCGAATGACACGTCTCTGTCCTTCCTCAATGGGAGACAGAACAGAGTGGGAAGCACCCAGGAGGAGGTGGGCAGNGGGACTTGGTGCGGCTTACATGAGGCCAAGCCCACAGCACATCAATAAACAAAGGCAATAACAAATAATCAAGACAAACAAATAAAATAAAATAAAACTCAAAACCAAAAAAATACACAATAAGCAATAAACAATAACAATAATAACATACAGCATTTAAAAACCTATGGCCGAGCCAAATGTAATAATTCAAATTTAAAATGCTGGACATGAACAAGGAGGTAAACTAGGATAGGGTTTTCCGAGAAAGATGAGGGCGCGCAGACAATGCTAAATCAATATTAAAGTGCATTTGAGGACATACTGCTAAGAGTTTTCCTTAGTCTGGGAAGGCACACTGGAACAACCACGTTTTCAGGCTCCCCCTAAAGGCTGCCAGCGTCGGGGCATGTCTGATGTCCTTAGGGAGTAAATTCCAGAGTCGAGGGGCTACCACCGAGAAGGCCCTCTCCCTCAGCCCCACCAATTGCGCCTGCGAAGGAGGTGGGAGTGTGAGCAGGTCCTCTCCAGATGATCAAAGAGATCATGTGGGTTTGTAATGGGATTTTGGGCTGCATCAAAAGCAGTATAGTGTCCCTATGAGGAGCGTCTTAAAGAACGGCATGGCAATCTGCCAGGGATAGTTTGATTGCGCTTTTTCTGCATGGCAGGGGGTTGGACATGATGGCCCATGTGGTCTCTTCCAACTCTATTATTTTATGATTCTATCATACAAAGTTACAAAATGAATTAAATATATTGGGAGGAGGGAGCAAGCTTGTTTTCTGCTTCCCTGGAGACTAGGACGTGGAACAATGGCTTCAAACTACAAGAGAGGAGATTCCATCTGAACATGAGGAAGAACTTCCTGACTGTGAGAGCCGTTCAGCAGTGGAACTCTCTGCCCCGGAGTGGTGGAGGCTCCTTCTTTGGAAGCTTTTAAACAGAGGCTGGATGGCCATCTGTCAGGGGTGATTTGAATGCAATATTCCTGCTTCTTGGCAGGGGGTTGGACTGGATGGCCCATGAGGTCTCTTCCAACTCTTTGATTCTATTTTTCTATTGCAGTTTTCATATGCACAGAAGCAGCTATGAAGTCACAGTAAAAGGAGGGTGACTCAGTCCTAGTGCCTAGACACCAGAATTCAACCTTTGCCAGAAAATTTGGGGGCTCCACATACAAATAAGCTGGATNCTATGATTCTATATGGCAACAAAGGATGTTGTTTCATTAATAAGTACTGCTACCTTAGCTGACTTCTCCTCTTCTCTATCCCTTTAGCAGATTAGTTTGTGAACATTTCGACCAATGCCAGTCTGAATTAGTTACTTAACTAAGTAATGACAATTAGAAGAGGGCTATTGGGAATAAACCAGATTGATTAGCTATGTGGAGGAGAACACTGATGAAACCTTACTGTTATGTGGATGGTGATGGAGACATGTAATGAGAAAGTGATTTGTAGGAGACCCCACCTTCCTGCCAATACCCTATTTATCATACTTCACATAATGTAGATTAACATAGTAGAAATTGAATAAACCAATTGGAAAACCATGCATTTTTCCATTGTACATGAACTGCCATCTGGCATTAATTTATAAAACAATGTACAGTAGACCTCCGTGAGGATTGGTCAATACCCGATAAGGAGCAACAGTGGTGCAATGGGTTAAACCCTTGTGCTGGCTGAACTGCTGACCTGAAGATCGGTAGTTCGAATCCACGAGATGGGGTGAACTCTCATCTGTCAGTTCCAGCTCCCCATGTGGGGACATGAGAGAAGCCTCCCACAGGAAGGTAGAACATCCCCTGGGCAACATCCTTGCAGATGGCCAATTCTCTCACACTAGAAGTGACTTGCAGTTTCTCAAGTAGCTTCTGACATGAACTCCCCTCCCCAGATAAATGTAGTTTCTGGCTGCCTGAGTGGTACTATAAAAATCGATCTAATACTATACCCATATGGTACCATACTATAAATTCTGCATTGACTTGATATTCATATTGAAATACAGTAATCAAAAGCAAATAAAGCCAAACCTAACTTAATGCAACATGGTTTCACTGTTTTATAGTATTATAAAAACAAGATTTTAAAATATAATTTAAGGTATTATTTCTTCAATTTTTGCTGGATACTAGAGAGTTCCAGTTGCTTGAGAGTCTTCTGTGGTTGGATCAGAGTTCCTGAAGAACCTGAAAAGAAATAAAAATGCCATGTGTACACAAAAAACAAATGATCGAGAAGCAGCCTCCGTTTGTCTTTTTTCTGCAGCTTCCGCAAGTTGTCTTCTTCTCATTTCGGGGTGAAAATGACTCTGAGAAAATAATTCTCAGAATTCACAACCAGCATGTTTCAAAGGGTCTCTTTTCTAAGTTCTGTCCTAATGTACATTTTCATTTCCTCTGCAGAAAGGCAAACTCTGAGTTTGAATTGACAGCTTCTGGAGACCTTTAGGCTGGTCAAATGGGGCATAAGAGGAAGTGAGAGTTAATAGTAAAGAAAACAAAAAGAAATGTTGACTTTGCTACAGGAAAAAAACTCCTTTATGTTCACCCAGATCTTTTGTGGTATTATGCACAATTATTATGACTTGCAAAAGTTTTTTTTAATTCTATTACAATTTGGTAGGTTTGTATCTGTCAATTCAGATTATTTATGTATTAGTTATCTATGTATTAGTTAGTCTATTACCATTTGGTAGTCTGGTATCTGTCTATTCAGAGAATTGAAGGAGCCCCTTGTGGTGCAGCGGGTTAAACCACTGAGCTGCTGAACTTGCTGACCAAAATATCGGTGATTTGAATCTGGGGAGCACCAGCTTCTGTCAACCTAGCAGTTCAAAAATATGCAAATTTGAGTAGATCAATAGGTACCGCTTCGACAGGAAGGTAATGGTGCACCATGCAGTCATGCTGGCCACATGACCTTGGAGATGTTGTACAGAAGTGATTATAATAATATGCTTATAACTGTATTTGTGTTTGCATTGGTTGCCCTAAAGCTGGAGCGGCCTAGCAGTGAGGAGTGTGTTACCATGGAAACGATGCTGAAGAGGAGTGGGAGGAGCTTAGAGAGGAGAGGTTTTGAAAAGTGACAGTTAGAGTCAGTCAGGTTTTAGACTCAGAGATGAGAGGAGTCAGGTTTTAAGCTCAGAGGAGTGAAGAGCAGAGTTAGGTTAGGAGGAGTGAACAGTCATGTAGAGAGAAAGTGGGAAGTAAAGAAACAGTGTTCGTGAATAGTTAGAGATTTCTTCAGTTAGGAAGCTGAAGGGGAAAACCTTGTTAGTTGCTTTAGTTAGAAAGAACTAACAGAGGCTTGTTAAGATCGCTAGTCGGGAGAAGACTAGAGATCAGTGGTTTGATCAAGGACAGATCAAACAGGGAGACTATTCACTTCAGGGAACACTGGTTAATAAAGTGCTTCACCACAGCAAGAGTTTATAAGTTGTAACATCGAAAGTTTGAATTGTATCGCAACCAAGTTACATGTAACCTTCAAGTATTTGCCAAGCTTAACATCATACTGCAACCATACGCTTTGTTTCAAAATAAACTTGTTCTCTTTGGTTTTTAAGACTGCCTCATCTCCATTAATTCTACATTCGGTGTGCCCAATCTCCCAAAATTACCTCACAACACAAACAGGGTGGCATCCAGTGGTATCAATACCAGAGCCTTTTACAAATCAGTGGCTCCTCTCTCCTAAACCTAAGCGTTTTCTTTACAATTGGTGGCGATCCTTTACAACCTGGTAGCC